ATCTATTTTATTGGTTTTTTCATAAAACCATCTCTTAGTTTTATTATTAGTTCGATAGTTTTCTTAATTTTAATTTTATTAATTTCTCCTTTGGTTTTCAATATTTCTAATTTGGTGTTTAATTGAGAAGTTTTAATTTGCTCTTTTTCTGGTTCTTTTAGTTGTATACCCAATTCATTGATCTTCTCTTTTTCTATTTTATTCATGTAAGCATTTAGAGATATAAAACTTCCCCTAAGAACTGCTTTTGCTGCATTCCATAAGTTTTTGGTATGTTGTCTCATATTGTAAATTTGTCTCATATTGTAAATTCACTTGTAAATATGAAGAGGTCATTTGTGTTTTTACCAAATTATTGAAAAAAACATATTAAATGACACAGAATCAAGCCCAGATTGTTGGGGGCAGTCTCCTACCAGTACCTATTAATGATTATTGTTTGGGTCTGCCTAGTTAACTAGATCCAAATTGTACTACAGCCTAACTCATCTTAATTCCTAATTGGTAATAAGTATATCCTTTATAGTCTTTGTAATATACCCACATCTTTCTCTACTATCTAAAAAGAATAGCATGGCAAATTATTCAATGCTTTGCTGAAATCTAGGGAAACTCTTAACCATAGCCTTCTCTCATCTACTGGATTTACCCTGTCAAAAAAGGAGAGGCTAGCTCTTGGTTCTTTATGATCATTGCTAGATAAGGGAGTTGAAGAAACTCAAAGAATGCTCGACACCTTGGGAGTGTGGTCTTGGGAGACGGGGTGGCAAATTAATTCTTAAAATTTTTGCATCTCTTGGACTAATTGCTGCTGCTGAATGATTCTGGCTGCCTTTGACTCCTTTGAAGTCTTCTCTCCAGAACTCTGGGATATATATTAAAATCTATGTCTCTGTCTCTGTCTCTCTGTCTCCTTCTATCTCTTCTCTATCTCTGCCATTCCTCCTCCTCCCTTCCTCTCTTTGTTTCTGTCTCTTCTCTCTCCTTTTCCCATTCTCTTCCCCCCCTTCTCTCTCCTCTCCTCCCCTCCCACTACATTTCTGTCTCTTCCTCTTCCTCTCCCTCCCTCCCTCTCTTTTCTCTGTTTCTATATCTCTCTGTCACACACATACACACACATCTGATGGCACCTGCGAATACAGATCACCATTCCTTAGAGAATGAAAAGATGTTTCCTCCTCAGCTGGTCCAATTCCACTCCTCAGTTTTCCTCTATGTGTATCAGCCATGATTTAGATCACCATTTAAGTTCTTGTGGCTCATTGCACCAGGGAGGTGACCCAGGGGTCTTGAAGGCTATGCTAGGGAAAGGCAAGGTCTGGCTAATCCTATAGTACACTACAAAGATTTTGCACATGGGCCCAGGCAGAGATTGTATGTCTATGGCCTGAGACAAGTCCAGGTAAATTTTGAGAGGCCCATCAGCAGGGTGAACTCAAGACCATTTTGGTTTTTGACCACTACAACTGTCCCAGACCGTCTGCTAAGTTCCAGAGGGATTATGATCTTCATTAGTTGACAAAATTACATATTCTTAAAGTGTTTCTTTTATACACTCTGCAACATATCTAGTTTCTGTCACCTCAGATTTGAAAAGATGCTGCCTTCAGCTTCTTCACAATCTTTTGGGCCAAACTATCTGTTGTTTGGCTATTTAAAGTCTTGAGGGCCCTTTGTTTTCATTTCTGCTCATTAAATTACTTCAAAGGCTTTGCAGGCACAGTTTCCTCACTACATCTTGGAATTTGGAGAGATTCAAATTATTGTGTTTCTAACTAAGTTCAATCTCCTTTTCTCTAGGTTCTTGTTTCTGTCCATTATCATGGTCTTTTTCTCTCTCATCCCTTCATTCGTTCCATTTTTGGGCCCTAAATTATTTTATTCATGGCTGATACACATAAAATAGTTTTTAGTGCTATACCTATATCAAGAGAAAGAAAAGCTCTAATTTTAATGAAATTAAACCTTAGATCTAGAACTAGACTTTGAAACCCCTCTTTGGTATCCATAAAAGTAGTCATTTACCACCTTACCCTACTTTAATTGAACTTGTTTTTGTCAAATACCAGTATATTCAAGAGAAATAATTTATTATATTTCATTCTTTTTTTGTTGTTTAGTTACTAACATTGCAATCCTTCAATCCTTCAATCCTTCAATTTAACTTGCTGGTGATAAACCTCTGGATGCTTGGCTAGATTGGTCCCCCAACACCATATACAGATTGCCCCTAGGGCCATATTTGAAGGCTTTCCAGCATGGTAGAACCTATGAAAGCTTGTCCTTCCCTGGAAAAGCACTAGAAAATCCTAGATGCATTTCCATGGCGAGATGAGCCATTGTAATAAGAATTAATGGAAGCTACCCTGTCCTATCTCTCCTAATAGACTATAAGTCCTTTCAAGAGAGGGACCATGTCTCATTCACCTTTGCAGTCCCTCAGTGCTTAGCATAATGCCTTTCATATGAGAGACCCATAAATAATAGTTAAATTTAGATCAATTTTATAACATACATTGACATCCATCATCCTCTCAACAGTAGTGGAAAATTTATATGTTAGGCCAGAAGCAAGCATACCATATTTCATGAAACTTCATACTCTCATGTGAAGTACAAAAATACCTAAAACGTGATGATATCCAGAGGAAGCTATACCTGAATAGATGAAAAGTCATAGCTTATCCATAAATTTTAGCCACTAATGATGCTTGAATTTTATAAGGTCCAATTAAGCATGTTCTGGTAAATGTTTAACCACCGGCAAAATACATGCAGGGCAGATAGACTTTTAAGTTTAATCTTCATTATTAATGTTTTCTCCATGACTTTCTTAAGTTTAGACAATTAACAAAAAATAAAGCCCCAATTGGTAACAAATTATTTTTGATCATTCCTTTTCTCTCACCCTCCACTTAAATCCTATCAATCCTGACATTTTAGCCTTCAGTAAAATTATCTCCTCCTTCCCTGTTCTGGCCCATCTGGCCAGAAACTCTGAGGGTCTTCCCTTCCCAGACTAGTTCTTTTGTGAAGGCAAACTAGGCCTACCTTTTCCCTCAATTCTTACCTAGCCTTCAATTACTGAATGGGTGTTGCCTCAGACAAACTGAGACCTGGGAAAGACCTTAGCTTAAAAAGGCCAAGGTCTTCCACTGCATCTGGGGCCATCTCCAGTTGTCCTGACCTATGTGTTGCTACTGGATTCTGATGACTCTGGAGGAGAGGGTGAGGCTGATGACTTTGCACAGCCCTGCCCCATTTAAATCCAATTCACTTGCAAGTCAAGATATCGTTCTCATGCCATCAGTCCTCTTCAAGTACAAAGGACAAACAACAACCTCATCCTTCCCATTCTAAGTGCTACCATTCTACTTCAGCCATTTATTGCCTTTCATCAGGATTATCGCAATTGCCTTTCATCACAAATCCATTTCACTTCCTGCTGCCTAATTTGTCCTCCGACAAAATAGTTATAATCATGTCACCCTTACATAAATCATTTTCAATGGTTCTTCATTACCTACTGAACAAAGCTTGGTGTTCACAACCCTCTAAGATGTGACCTTGATTTACATGTCCAGTCTTTCACACCTCTCCATTTCCCATACCCAATTCTGTGACAAACTCAGCTACTTTCTAGTCCCTGAGCATTCCCCATGACATCCAAGTTCTATGCATGAAACCCGTTTCCTATCCTGAAGTTTCACCTGTCCAATTTTTGCTTATCCTTCTAGGCCCAGTTCAAATGCTATCTCTTTCATAAACACTTTTTTTGCGTCCCTGACCAGGATGGATTATCTTTTCTTGAATTCACTTGATAGTTTGGTAAAAACCCTGGATTTGGAGTCAGAGGGCCTTGGTTCAAATTATGCCTTTTACTATTTACTTATGTGACTTTGGACCAGCCATGTCACCTCTCTAGGCTTCCATTTCTTCATTTGTAAAGTGAGAAGGTTGAACCAGGTGATCTTCAAGGTGCCTTCCAACTCTAAACTCATCATCCTATGATCTTATGATCTCTCATTTTCCACTTGTATAACTTAGTGAATTACAGCTCTTTATGCTTGTCTTATGTCCCATATTAGAATGTCCATTCTGTAATGGTAGAAGCCATGACTTATCTCTCTTTGTCTCCCCTACAAGGCCCAGCATAGTGTTACTAATGGTAGATCTTAAATAAATATTGGTTGAATAGGTTAATGCATAAATGCTTTCAATCAAATTGTATAAACACCATAGCTAGCTTTCAGCATATAGATGCTATTTGCTCCTAAATGAGATGTAATAGGATATAATGGAAAAATGATTTGCCTATTTCTTATCTTTGGTAAGGCTGGGGACAGGGAATCTTTCGGTGTCCTCTTTTCCTTAGTTTTACACTAATCATTTGTTTAGGGAAAATCTTTGACCTGTTATAGGATGTTAGAGGTGGAAGAAACCTTTGAAGTCAGAGAATCCAATTCCTTCATTTTTTAGATGAGGAAATTGAGTGCACAAAAGGAGAAACGACTTACCCAACATCACAATGTAGTAGTATTGGGTATTCATTAGGAAGCATTCATTATGAAGAAACTGGTCATTAATATACTCCCATGAAAAGATCTACTGAAATATGACTTGTATAGGATGTTTACTCCTGACCTTTTAGTCTTCTTCCCCTCTTCTAAGATCCTTTAACATGTTAGCTTAATCAGTAAACAATCATTTTTATTTAAAAAAAAAAACAACTACATAGATTCACTGCAGAAAGTCGTGTTCAAATGCATGTAGGCACCACTTTCCCAGAGTGAAAACCTTAGACAAGTAATAAAACATGATTTAAATATATCAAAATTTAAACATTATCATTCCTAATGAGATTGTCCTTTTTTCTGATCTTGATAGTTTTAGGCAGTAGCTAAAAAGCAAATACAACTTAGTATTGTCATGATTCATGTAATAAATGGAAATTTCAGGGATTTGCATTCAGGTGGTCCCTAAGTCATCGAAATCCCTGGTCACGTTTTCTTAGTTTTATCCTCTGCCTCGGTTGTTGGTTGTTTATTTACAAGTTTCTGGAGTTCATGGATGACCTTTTTGAGATCCAGTCCATTCTTGGTAGCTGCAAGAGTAGCTTCATTGAAAGGGAAAATGAGAGCAAAATCACCTACGTGGGAGCATGGCCTCATACCTATATCTGACAGGAAATATGGGGTGATGTTTTTCTTCTTCTTACATGATTCAGAAGACGGGAAGAGATGGAATGACTTGAATGTAGTCTGTCTGTTTCTTATCTTTGGAAAAGCTGGGGGTACAGAATCTTTTGAAACCTTCTTTTCTCTTAGTTTTTCAGTAGATATTTCTTTAGGAAAAACTTTGACTTTTTTTTGTAAGGCAATTAAATCATTGGTATAGGCCTTTCCTTGTAATAAAGAGAAAATATTAGAAGAGATGCAAGTCTCCTTGTTATGAGATGTGTATCTAGACAAGGCATGAATTGTGCTTTTTTGTCCAAACTGAGAAATGTTTATCCATTGCCCTGAAGTTTCATGGTCTCTATCTTTCTTACCTTCTGCCCAGGAAATTTTACACCAATGCTTTGAAGTTTCACAGACTCTATCTTTATCACTTCCAGTCCAGGAAACATGAGGCTGGAGGCCTGAAGCTTCACGAGATTCCTTTTTGGTTTTCCTCAGGCGAGTTTGGTTGAAATGCATCAATTCAATGATATCATGGATAAGCTTTCTCTTCACTGACACATCGGTGGAACAGTCTAAAGATAAGCCAGGACTAAAGTTCACTTCTAAAAGCCATGGTTTGAACTGGTCATCAATCAAAATGTCAAATCCAAAGAGCTCAAAGCAATTGGAAGCTAAGGGGACAGAGGGGGCAATGGAGAGAATTGTGAGGATGACCAAGTGGTTGATTCTTTGCCACAGAAGCAAGTCATCCACATCCTGACTGCGAAGATAAGCGAAGAACTTGCTCAAGGTCCATTTACAACCTCGGCCAACCCCTTCTTTATTCTTCTTGTAGGAGGCCCCGGTTTTATTGACACTGCTGTTGGTCAGGTGGGAGCAATCATTCTTCAGGTTATTGAGATCAAACTTTTCAGTGGCAAACCGTACCAGTCCTTCTTGATAGAGGTAGATGGTTAAGGGCTGGAAACCAGCAACACACACATAAATACGCAGATCACATTTATACCTAGCAATGAGGAAGGGGTTGGTGATATATTTCTGTACAATCGTTGCACAATCAAAGATCAAGTCTTTAAGGTCACTGAAAATCATTATGCCCCTTCCACGAGACAGTTCTGCTGGCTTGCATATCCAATAGCTTGGCTTGGTGCCAAGGGCCTCTTTCTCCCTGGAGTATTCAGCTACAAACTTAATATAGTCATTGGGCATGATAAACGTTAGTGGAGAGAATGCATAAAGAGATGCTCCATAAATTCCTTTCATGTGCTTCAAATGTCTTGCCAAGTAGTCCTTCCTAGTAAGCCTGGTGGTCCCTGGGTGATGATTAAGTCGTTGCCATGGCTTAACATTGCTATGGTCAATCATACGGAAAGCTGAGGTCCGCCAATACAAGTTCCAATCTGCTACGTCCTTCACATCTTCATTATATTTATTCCAGCCACGTTCTAGAAGAACATTTTTAACTAGTTCAGGAGTATTTTCATCTACACGAAAGACTAATGGCTTTAATATAGTCTCTGAATTTTCATCTTCTGTCATCATGTGATTTTTCTTTCCTAAAAGATGGATAATTAGAAAGGGGTTAATACAATGAATTCAGCATGTCATTATCACAATCTAGTAGAATATCTAGGCATAATAGTAATTCAAGCTATTTTACTTTGATATTCTATGCCTGCTGCACTCCAAGCCAAATTAAAGGAAACAAATGAGCCCATTTCTATAGTTTTTACCCAAACAAGTCCACCTATAATTGAACATTCCTTAGAACTCAAATGAGTTGCCAAAAAGGATAGACTAACTTTGCTATTGGGTATAAGTGGGAACATATGAGTAATGTGGCTAAAGGGGTCAGACTAACTTTGCTGTTGGGCATGAGTGGTGACATGTTCTTGACTTACAGCAGTGTTGCTTTCAAGGCCAGCCATGTACATTATTTCCCATTGGTGTAAAAGTGAGGGACCATTATTCAGAGCAAAGAATTAAGATGGCATTTAATGTGAAATTAGATAAATTAATAAGGGAGACATCTGATGTTGTTAAAAAGAAGATTCTTAGGATGACAAGATTACAAGAGCAACATTTTTTTCAATTAGCAAAAAAGGTATAAAAAAAGTAGGGAAGAGGTTCAAGATGATGCAGTGAGTGGTTTTCTAACCACCAACAGGACTGAAGAAATTTATGAAAAAGTAAGAGATATATTTGCTTTCAATAGAAGGCTCATTATCAGGAAAAACTCTTAATAACATTATTCAAAAGTGGAATGAAGCAGTCTTCAGGAAGTTAGTACAAGGCCTCTTTTTGCCTTACAGTAAGAGTTTTACAATTCAGAGATGATTTTTGACTTGGAACAGTATAATGCAATGACTTTATTCAATCAAACATCGTTCTAAATTACTTTTGTATATTTCCAAAAAATTAAGTCCCTTTTCAATGGATATAGTGAAAGTTGACTGGAGAGTCATTAATCTTTTTTTGTGGCATGGACCCCTATAGCAGTCAGTTGAAGCCTATGGATCTCTTCTTAGAAGAATATTTCTAAATGGATGGACAAGTCATTTACCTCTCGGGTCCTGTTTCCATATCTGTAAAATGGGGATAATAATACTTATAGTACCTATTGCATAATTTATTGCAAGAAGCAAATGAATTAAGGGGCAAGGAGAGGGTATAGGGATTTATATAGAGCCAGGCACTCTGCTCAGGGCTTTTACAAATATCAGCTCATTTGATCCTCACAACAGCCCTGAGAAGCAGCACTGTTATTATCATCCTCATTTTACAATTGAGGAAACTAAGGCAAACAAAGGACACATGACTTGCTTTAGTCACACAGCTAGTAAGTAGCTGAGGCTGGATTTGAACTCAAATCTTCCAGACTCCAGATTCAGTGCTCTATTTACTGTGTCCCCAACTGCTATCTAGGCCTTCATCTGAGGTATTGATAAAAATCACTTAGATAAAGCTATGGATGGCATGCTGAGCAAATTACACAATGATAGAAGGAATGGTTTATATAGTAGATACTAAATTAAAAATTCAAAAAGATTTTGACAGAATGGAATATTGGGGTGAATCTAATAAGATAGAATTTAACAGAGATAAATATAGAGTCTTATATTTGGGACAAAAAAAATCAAAGATGGCAGTTCCTACAAGGGGGTGTGTGTGGAAAGAACTTGTGATTTCATTGGAATAAAATGAATCGATGGTGTAATGTAGAGGCCAAGAATATTAACGTAATATTAAGCTGTGTTGATTTCATGGCATAGTGTCAGGACTAGGGAAGTGATAGCAACACTACAATCTGTCCTGTCAGATACCGTACCTGAAGAATTGTGTTCAGTCCTTGGTACCATGTTTTTCAGAAAGGATGTCAAGATGGAAAGCTTTTGAAGGATAGAATTCAGTGTAGTGAAAAGCCTTGAGATCATGACATACCAGTGTATGTTGAAGGAACTAGGGATGAAATGGCCTACAGGGAACATGATAGCAGTCTTCAAGCATCCAAATGACTGTCATGTGGAAAGACAATTAATATTTTTCTGTTTGGCCTTAGAGAGCATAACAAGGAATAATGGACAGACATTTCAGAGAGGCATATTTAGATTTAATACAAGGAAAAACTTCCTAATCCTTAGAGTTACCCCACAGTGAAATGGGCTTCCTTGGCCAGTAATTATCCTTCCCTTAATGAAGAAATTTAAGCAAAAACTGGATAACCATTTGTTTAGGTATTGGTGGTACTAAACGGCCACTGGAATCCCCTCCAATTTTGCCATTCTGTAATGTATCTAAAGAGCTATATAAATACTGGTTATTATCATATATGCTGACTTCAAGTTCTAAGTGGGAATCTCCAGAAGATATGACTAATTAAAATCATTGGCTCAAGTTCTGTGTATGCTTTGAGGCCCCTGAGTAACATTGTGGTGGAATGAGACTGGTAGAACTTGGAAGTGAAGGGGGTGGCGTAGTTGCACAAATAGTTGTTAAAAAAGATTTTCTATATATATGTATATATACACATATATATGTGTATGTATGTATATGAGTGTATATACATACAATTTATTAACACATCCCTCACCACCACTACTACCACTGCCTTCTCCAAGGCAAAGAGATGAGACTAGAGATGGGACTGTCCCATGCTCCTTTCCATATTAAAATGTCCCCTCCCTTTTGTTACTTTCCCATTCAAGACTGCCTCAGATATTCATCTTAACTTGATTTTTAACTACATGAAAATGAGAAGGAGGGAGTGGGGAACCACATACTATACAATTTGCCCCAAGTCTGAAATCTTCCACCTCTTCCCCTAGGAATTTCCTAGGCCTACGTCAGTCTTTAAAGCCATCAATGCTACCTTGCTACCACATTTTTGGCTTGTTTCCAATCTAACCAAATCTCTGAATTTGAAGATGAGATTGAAGGGAGGTGGGAAAGCATCTTAGTAGTTGATTCAGAGATAGGTTGTGTCTCACTTATGACTAGTGTTGTTGAAGGAGTAATTCATTTACTGGTTGCCAGGGAGATGGTGTTGAGAAAGGAGTTCCACTGGAACTAACAACAGCTACCCGTGGGAAATCTTAGGGATGGGGGAGATGAGGAAGGTTACTCTTCACTAAAGTTTTCTCTTGTTCTGTCATACTACCTTGAAATGAAGACGGTTGAAGAACAATTGTTAATTCTTACAGACTTAAGGTAATAGTATTCTTAAGGTAATATCAAACACCTATTATTTTATAAAACAATTGGGAAATGGTCCCTATTAGCTACCCAAACCCTATCTTGCTTTGTAAGGAGACAATGTTTTGATTTTATGTACAATATATTAAGGACATTTCTAATTGGGAGCCTATATTCTAATTGTCTGCTTCTGGCTTCTGTAGGAGAAAGTTGTGGGAAAAGAGAAAAGGACTCAAAAAAAGGAAGATGGATGAATATAAGGAAAAGGAAATTATGTTAGGTGATTCAGAGGGGTTTGGACTTGTCAAGAAGGTTGGAGTTTGAACTTGGGAAGGATAAATTTGAAGAAATTTGGGGAAAATTAAGGAAAATTTCAAGAAAACCTCAAAATTCAGATTCTATTTCTGGGTTCTGTGAGAAAAATTGGAAGATGAGGAGCAAGATTAAGGAAGATCATGGAGATATGATGAAGATTAAGGAGGATTAAGAAGTAATGACCTGAAGAGAACATTTCAAGGTAAAAGACTGAAGAGAAAGAAGAGGAGGAAGTAGTTGAAAAGGTGGAGTAGTTGAAAAGGATGGATCCTTGGGGGACATTAATGATGAATGAGCATGATCTGAAAGAAGAGACTGCTAACAGAGACTGAGAAGAACAGTTAGAGGGGTTGGAGAAGAACCAGGAGAGAACAGTGCCACACAAACCCAGAGAGGCTAGGGTATCCACTAGAAAAACACGATTAACAGTGTCAAAAGTTGCATCTTCACAGAAGCATCCAGGTTGAGAAAAGGCCATTAGATTTGGCAACTATGAGATCACTGGAAACTTTAAAAGAGAGCTGCTTTAGTCCATGATGAAAACCAGATTGCAGAATATTAGATTCAAATGACAGAAGAATAAGTGGAGACACAGACTGTAGATGGCTTTCTCAAGGAGTTTAGATATAAAAGGGAGGAGAGACATAGGACAGTAGCCAACAGAGATGGTAGCATCAAATGAGGGTTGAGAAACAGAGAGACAAAATTCCTGTAATCTTTACCCCTTGGCTCAAATGACCCTTACCTGTTTATAATAATGGCCTATTTATCTGGAGCAGACTTCTGAGTATATGACAATCACTTGGAACTTCAACTTGTCATGAAATAGAACCATTAAAATGACTGTCATAGAGGCTGTGCATATATGTATATATGTATCAATTAATCAATCTATATCATTATGTATTATGGCAAATGGAGAATGAATTAGTCCCAAAATTGAACAGGAGGAGGAAAGAATGAATTATTGTCAGTTGTTATTACAGGAAAAATATATATGTGTATATATACATATATATGTACACATATATGTGTGTGTGCGCGTATATATATGTAATATATATATTTTATATATATATATATATATACGCACACACACACATATATATTTGTGAGGCAATTGGCCTCAGAGTCACACAGCTAGTGAGTGTTATGTGTCTGAGGTCAGATTTGAACTTAGGTCCTCTTGACTCCAGGGCCATTGCTTTATCTACTGAGCCACCTAGCTGCCCTTAAAATCTATATTTTTAAGGCATTGATGTGGTGCAGATAGAATACTGAACTTGAGTCGGGAAGACCTGAATTAGAATCCTGACTCAGACATTAGTTGTGTGACCCTGGGAAAGTCACAAAATCTCTCTCATCCTCAGTTTCCTCATCTGTAAAATAGTGACAGTAATAACACCTGTCTAGGAGGGTTGTTCTGAGGATCAAATGGGATAACCCATGTAAAGCACTTTGAAAACCTTAAGATGCTATGTAAAAGCTAGTTATTATTAATCATCTGACTTAGTTGTGAGGATCAAATGAGATAATACATG